TTGTATTCAGTATGGCACGTAAAGCGGTACAGAAAGAGAGAGCATTGGACAAGTACTGAAATGTTATCAATTTGTTATTCTCGATCAACTGATTAGTAACAATTGGAAACTTATTGTATTTATTTATGTACGAGCAGAAAATATCCCTTTCGTATTGTTGCCCTTCTTTGACATAAATCATAATTTCGTCGACTATATGCTGCAAATAATTAAAGCACAATGATTCCGCTATTTATAGAACCTTATTGCGAATACTTTCAACCTTCTAGAGTACCGAATACCTGCACCGATTGCTCTTTTGTCAGATTTTTGTGATGTAACTAGATCTATAAGTGTCCAACGAGGATTAGTTATTGATTACCAGTATTGTTGAGTGCAAGATAAAATTCTCTATCAACATTTAATTAAAATAATGGAACAACTAGAAAAAAAAATATCATATAATTTTGCAATAATTTCACTACATATAAGACTATATTTAATTTTTAAATGTAAATGAATTTTGTCATTTCAATCCATACATAAAATTATAACGTTGCCCCATAATGTAATACGTGATTAGAATTGTAGAAAATTTCTGAGTTTGGAAAATATCTTGTAATAAACCGACTGTAATCAGAAGAACAGAAAGATTACATTTGGTCACGTCAATACGATCAATTCTGTAACTCAATTCGCACCACAGGTTTGTGTTACTTGAGGTAAAAAACATTTCACATAACATATTTTACATACGATTTTTCTAAAAACGAAAATGGGTTAATTCAATATATTTTTTAAGTCGCGCGAAAGTAAATAGAGAAGTGATAATGCAAAAAGATGATTCAGAAGAATCGAAAAGCAAAAAATAGAAAATAAATTCGTTCGACTTCAAAAGCAGAAATATTACGGAAAAGATATTACACTCTCGTTATTTTAAAGGCAAAGGTAAAAGATTCCATACGTTTATGTCACTTAACACCGAGTTTGTTCCGAAAATTTCCGAGTATACAAAAATTTGTCTTACCTCCTCATCAATCACTCCAATTTATATCGAAGCATTGATTAAACTCCACTATATTTGTTCTATTTATACAAAGATAGTTTATAAACACTATTAATAGTTATCATAATATATTTTGTTCTGCAATAATAACTATCTACTGGGTAACGTATAATTACAATAATATTTGAACACTCTATGTTGTAGTCTCTTCTAATATGGCACGCAGAGCGGTACAAAAGGAGAGAGCGTTCGACAAATACTGAAATATTATCAATCTGTTATTATCAACATTATAATTGATTTTACTTTGTCAACTTGCTCGTAACGGTTAAAGGCTGTGCAACAATTAGATCACCTCTAACGTTTCAATTGAAAGAG